AGCTAATAAAATGTGTACATAATAAATTTGACTTTTGTACATTCATATTTACTATCGTTTTCCTTCTGATTTTCTTATCATGGCATATGGCAATAGAAGAGATGTGAAGAATGTACAAAACTTCCTTCAAGTTTTGTTTCAGAGTATTTCTCATAATTGCTCTGAAGATGTAGAGAAATGCCAAGAAGTAAGGAGAGTGAAGAGGAAGCAATATTTTTACAAAAAGTTTGATTTATCCATCTAAATAATGCATAAATGTTAAAAATCTTTGCCTTAAAAATGTTAGAATAAAAACATTAGAAGAAACAAGTAGAAGTTTACCTGAAAAGAAGGCATTTTTATATGACAAATAGGAGCTTGTACATGATAAGCCCATGAAGGCAGTATTTACTGAATGCGTATTACAGACTGGGCACACTGCTAAAATACTTTACATTCACAACAACAGGAAAAATTGTTTCCATTTTACATTTTGAATTGGGTTGAAGGCTGCACATACTCATGGAATTGAGGTAAAAGTTGAAAAAATAAGAGACTGTCACTTTTACCAATGGACAAGACATAGAAGCCGCTGACAGATCATTTAAAGCAATGCTTGTCAATGATGCTCAGGCTGCCCTTTGCATTGAGGTTAAGAATCAGCATTTCAGAGGCCAGTGGTGTTTTGTGCGACACAGAAAGATCCTTCACCCCACTGAAGGTCATGCTCAAAAATAGCTGTAACACAGAGGAAATGGTTATTGGGATCCTGTCATCTTTGCCCTAAGAAAAAATGTCTTTGAGATACACTTGACACCTTTCTGAAGTCCTGAATTGCCATCCAGAGGATCTCAGTTAGCCCTGAGATCTTGTGGGCAGATTCCATCTAGCTGGTGATGGCTCAAGGGCTACGTGTAACTGTCTTTCCTTTGACACAATGGGGTGTCCTTGCTCTGAACAATAGGTAACTGACCCACCTGGTCAGCTTAATGGAGCCAATGTAGGCTGGCTCCCATAAATCCTCCTCAGAGATACATTTAGTTCACTACATGAAGTTTTTCTGTTCTGGGACCATCAGATTTTAGTTTCTTTAACTCATTTACATGAGGATTATTATGGCACTGTCCTCGTCAAGCTACTGAGAAGTATTCTGTGTCATTTGAAGATGCTAGCTAGGTTATTTATTTTCCAGCCCTGTTTAGAAATTGTTATGCACCTTAGTGGTCTTTAAAATAATTCTGGATTTTAAAAGATTCCTCTTTAACTTAAGAATTTAATTTCTGGTCATTTTACAAGAAATCCCTGCTTTAAAATTTTTCCCTTCATTGAATATTTTGGGAGAATTTCACCGTTTATTTTAATGTTTGTATTTCCATTTATTCTTAGCACTGATGGAAGAAAGAACAGGAACCCCAAGTGTACTGATACTTGTTTATAGGGGAAAAGGATTCGTACTGTTGTTTCTATGCCTGTTATCACATCACTTATTATCTGCCTTTCTGGTATACTACGCTGTCTTATGCTCCTGTTTGGTTTAGACAATGTTAAGATCATTCACAATAATTTTCATGAAACGGTAAATTACCTGAATTCAGAGAAAATGATTTTATACACGTTTTCATTTTGCTCTCAAACTTCAGGCATTTTAAACAGAACTTTAAAACAGTGAGTTGAATATCGAGCTCGTTTTTTTTTTTTTTTTAAAGATTTTATTTATTTATTTGAGACAGAGAGAATGAGAGAGAGCATGAAAGGGAGGAGGGTCAGAGGGAGAAGCAGACTCCC